TGCGGTGTACCCGCTTCTGTCAGTACAACAAAAAATTTAAAAATCAGAAACATGTTGCCGGGCTTGTTTGCTCGTTGCCAGATTTGCATTTACCGCACTAAATACCACAAGTAATTCCATATACTTCCTGTCTTAGGAGGTGAATTGGTGTACTCCTTGGTTTCTTTTGCTTTGATTAGCCAATTATTGAAATTCTATAAATGCTTATTTGAGAGCTCATTCCTATTGATTAAACTATAGAGAGGTAATAAACTCTTCATGTATGTATTCCACAGTATCCTTTCTACCATAAATTAGAATTTTTCGTTTTTTCTTTTTGAGTATGAAGGAGTCTCGCTCTGCCACCCAAGGGCTTGAGTGCAGGTTTGTAGCCATCTCAGGCTCACTGCAAGCTCCGGCCTCCTGGTCATGGCCATTTTCTCCGCTGCCTCAGCCCTCCCGAGTAGCTGGGACTACAGGCACGCCGCCCACCGACGCTCCGGCTAATTTTTTTGTATATTTTTGGGTAGGAATGCGAGGTTTCACATGTTAGCCAGGATCATCTCGATCTCCTGACCTCGTGATCTGCCCGCCTCAGCCTCCCAAAGTGCTGGGATTACAGGTGTGAACCACCATGCCCAGCCAATTTTAGAATTTTTTAAAAAGGGTCATGCATATCTTTGATTGGATCTTTTAATTAGATTTATTTATTCCTAATGTGTAGAAACGTAGTTTTTACATATTGATCTTACATCTACCAACATTGCCAAGCATTTTTTCCTTCTAATAATTTGAATGTAAATTCTTTTGGATTTTATGTAAATAATTGCATCATCTGTGATTTATAAAGATTTTTCCCCCTTTTCAATCTTTATATCTCTTATTTAACAGAAATATTTTTAATGTTTTTTTATTATTATACAGTTTTGATCCCTTTATGAGGCAAAGAAATTTCCCTTCTATTCCTAGTTTGCTGGAAGATTTTACCATGAGTATTGTAATTTAACAAATGCTTTTTCTGTACTCGTTGAGATGATCATATGGAGTTTCTTTTATAATTTATGAGGTGAATTATCTCAGTAGGTTTTTTGTTTTGTTTGCAATAAGCCAAGCTTGCAATTCTGGCATAAATCCTATCTCATCAGGGTATGTTATGCTTTTTCATATTTATCCTGTCAAAATCTTGTGATTGTTTTGAATCTATGTTTATAAGTGATACTGAGTCTATTTTTTTCTATACAGTCTTTGTCTAATTTTAATTCAAAGTCACATTTACCTGCTTAATCATTTTGAATAATACTTCCTTCTTTTTAATCAGAAAAACTTTCTAGACATTTGAAATAATTTGTTCCTTGAAAGTTTAATAGAATTTTGCTCTAATATGTATAGGCCTGGTCTTTGTTTAATGGGAAGACAGTAAGACATTGCTGTTGATAGTGTTTGTATCACTTTGCATGTCCACCAATGAGTGTAAAGTACCCTTTTCCCCACAGCCTTGCTGACAGAGTATATCGTCAATCTTTTAGGGTTCTTTTTGCCAAATAATTGACAAGAAATGGCATTTTGGTCTAATTCTTTTTCAAGTCTGCTTGGTTGTCTTTCACTGTCTCTTATTTTTTGCTCATTATTTCAAATTCAATTTTTATTTCATCAAATGTTTTTTAAATTCAGTATCTAATCATTTTAGCACATGAAATCATCTGGCCCTCAGTCTGTCTGTTGTGTTTGTGATGTTGAATCACAACCACTTGTTTCCTTGCGTGTGCGGTAAGTTCCAGTTATTGTTTTATGCCTGGGATACGTCAGTGAACACAACAATCCAATGGCCCCGCCCTTGTAGAACGTGGAACATACATCAGTCACCACAGGGAGAGGTGAAGAGTAAACAGTCAACAAAACGTACAAGAAATTATGTTTTAAAAGTATGTTAGAAGTTGAAGAGTGCTATAGAAAAAGGGAGGGGAGCCTAGAAAGGGAACTGCAGGAGCCAGAGTGAGAGGACAGGCAGCAGCTTTAACTAGGATGCCAAAGTAACCTCACTGAGACCGTGGAATTCAAGAAAGTAAATGAAGGAGGACAAACCATATGGATATTATGGAGAATAGTATAGACAGAGCAGCCAGTGTCTCAGCAAGAAAGCTGGTGTGGCTAGAGAGAAAAATGAAGAAGGAGAGCCAGAGGCCTAAGAAGGGGTCTGGATCATGCAGCACCTGGTAGACTGCTGGAAGGACTTCGGCTTTTACTAAATGTGATTTGGGGGGTGGTGGAAGCCATTGGAGGGGTATTGCACAGACAGAATCTGACTTCTGTCACTCTTGTATTGAGAGCAGACTGTAGGTAAGTAATTGTGAAAGTAAGGAAACCATCTAGGAGACTACTACAAGTATCTGGATGAGCACTGAGAGAGGCTGGAAGCAGGATGATGATGATGAGGATGGTGAGAAGCTGTTGAATTGGATGTATTGGGAAGGAAGAGTCAAGAGGATTTGTTGGCTAGCTGTGTGGGTGTGAGAGAGAGATTGTACCATTATGGAAACAGGAAAATGTGCAGATAGAGCACTGGGGTAAAGGGGATCAAAGGTTAGGTTTTAGACATGTTAAGGCTGACATGTGTATTACATATCTTGGATAAGTACAGATGTGTGGGGTAGGCAACTGGGTACACAAGTCTGGAGTTTGGAGAAAGGGGTCTGGGCTTGAAATAGAAACTTGGGAGTCATGAACATATAGCGAGCATCTAATTTCGTAAGAATGAAAGAGGTCATCAAGGTATTAAGTGAACATCAGTTCAGAAAGTGGTCCAAAGTAGATCCCGGAGGCACTTCACTGTTGAGAGGGCAGGAAGATGCAAGGAGTTCAGCAAAGAGGAATGAAAAGGGGTTATCACAGAGGTATATGAAAACCCAAGAGAGTACAGTGTCCCAGAAGCTAAGTAAAGAAACGGTTTCAAAGAAGAGGGAGTGATTCACCGTGACAAAGAATGGTGAGCAGTCAAAAGATGAAGACTGAGAAATAATCGTTGGATTTTGCAATGTGAACACTTTTAGTGACCACGAAAAGAACATTCTTTTTGATGGGTAGATTCTAAAACCTGATAAGAGTGGGTTTAAGAAAAAATAAAGAAATTAGAGATAGCAAGGATAGGCACCTTTTAATGTTTTAGTCTGAAGGAGGACAGAGAAACAGGGCAGTAGCAAGAGTTCGGAAATGTGCTATCAACAGAATTGATAATTGATTTATATTTTATGCTGATGGAAGTGTTCTAGTTGAGATGGAACATTCAGCAATTCAGTAGAGAGGAGAGAGTATTATTAGAACAAAGTCCTCCAGGAGGTAGAGAAGATAAATCACAAAGCAAAGCAAGCACAGAAGTGCAGATGTCTGGAGGTCAATAGAGGTGAAGGTGGGCGCCTGAGGAACTTCCCAGATGTCTCTTGCTGCTTCTTTTAAGTAAGGAAAACACTGATAAGCCCTGTGGACTTGGATATGCCCATCCTACTAAAAATTTCACCCAATCATCCTCGCTATTACATCATGAGAAAACAATGCTCCTCTCTTTGATCTGTGAGGAATCTAAGCAGAGATTTGTGGCTCACTAAGGCCTGCCAATAGTCATTGGTGAGCCAGATTGCCACATCCTCACGTCCTCAGAAGCCTATGTGATATCCATTTATGCCCTCCCATCATCTTCCCCTCAGCCCCAGATAGATACTTTCTAAGTTTTAAGAGCGGTTCCATAGAGAAGAAATGACAACCATACAGCGTGTTTCCAAGCCCTGACAAAATCTAAATTCCAATCACGTTTCACAACTAAGTTATACAAGCTTGGATAATGTCTTCAACTCACAATGGCCCATTTTCCACATGACTCCTACTCACATATTGTTACAAGACAGTATGTGTACATTGCATCGCACAATGCAAAGATCCTGCGTTTCAGTTATTTTCTCTGTTCCATACTGTCCCTATTCTGAATGCCAGAGTGTAACAAATGAGCATATATTAGGGATAAATAGACACATCCAGGAAGCGTTCTCTGCAAATTTGCTTATGTTCAATTATCTTAAATATGTATACATTTATAAAATCCATTCATCAATTTAAACTACTAGATTACTAGATATCTTTCAAAGGTACATGCTATAAGATTTCTAACAGATTGACTTCTCAAACATGATCATTGGTCTGTCGAGTATTTATTAAAGGAAAATCTACTCTAGACTTTCTAGGTCAGCAAGCACTTGATTATTTTGTTGTATTTTTACCAGTTTACAGATTTCTATCTGATGTGTGTGTATATAAAGGGAGTGAGTGTGAGAGAGAGAAGGCAGTTATGCACTTGGACTTCAATTAAACTGTAAGGCCTATGGTCTTCAGTTTTTGATTTTATATACATTGCAATCCTCACAATTATATATATTCCAAAGCTTTGGTGCTTGTTCAATAATATATCATGCACACAAAATACATTAAACACATATTACAACACAGTTGCAAGGTTTTCATCACAGAAATATGTAAGGATATTTCATTTTTTAAAAGTGCCTTTTGCTATAGGGTTTTTAAAAAATCATTTTGTAGTGAAAAATTAACTACTGGTTTCTTTGATGTGTTAGTTTGACCGAAAGAATGTATTACTAGAGAATGCTTATTATTTTTATAACCATATTTCATTTAAAATCTTTCTGAAAAAAAAAAATGTTCATTTGTTTTTTTGTAGGTCTGGGCAAGGGATGATAAAAAGCCTTAGAGTCCAGGCAATCATGCTGAAAACACAGGGCAGGTGTCATTTTTTATTGTGATTGGCCAGAGCTGAAATCAGGACTTTCTCCCTCTCCCAGAAGCTATTGTGGAATTTACAGTAATCCCCCTGGCTGACTGCCCATCACACTGCTGAACAGCATAACAACAACAAAAACATAATATCTGGGGAGAAGGCCAAAACATATATTAAAAATTCTCATTGTTTTTATTCTTCAACATTCAAAGATGATATTTTTAAGAGAAAAGAAAAAACTCACCCAGCTGTTACCGCTATTCATATTCCAACAGCCTCCAGATTGCTCGAGGCCACCTGGTTGACTTTTGCCTTGGAGTCGGTCCAGAAAAGCATTATTTACCCTTTAAAACAATGAAAAATGTGTGTGAGTAGAAAGCTTGCTGCAGGGCTGAGAGATTTCTGAGAACCTAATGTGTTGTGTGAACTGACCGTGGGGATAGCTTCCTGGCTTCAGCTTAGAATAAATCTACAGAAACTTCTCTTCATACTAAACATATGACACGCTATTAACCGCTCTTTACTGGAGATAGTGCCAATCTTGGCTCAAGCCAAAGGGGGTATGAATTCTTAACCTGAGAGTTTCAGGCACTCATCTCCTACCAGTTCAGCAAGACCCTAGTTCAAGAAAGAAACTACAGCCCTCAGAGTCATGCCAGGTATGAACCTCAGAGGCTGGAGAAAGACAGAAGCCTCAGCACGAACCAAAACATGAAGAACCACCAAAGATAGCTCTATGGCATTATTGCTGCAAGACAGATGTCCTTCCCATGTTCCCTGCACTCCACTGCCAGTCTTGCTAAAGTAAACCCCACACATGAAAAGCAGAAATGGAAGGTAGTAGGGTGATGGTTATATTATTCTATTTCTGGAGCTCGCTACCTGGTTGTTCACTTTATAATGAATCATTATAAATATCTGCTTTATAGAACTTTCTGTGTTTCATATTACAATTTTTAAATTTAAAATAATAAATCACAGGTAACACCATGCTCTGAGATGCCCACGTATGGCTGAATAGAGTCAGGGACTTGGAAGCTGAAGAAATGGCACTGCAATAGGTACCCTATGATATCAACAGATTATTTAGGAAGTGCAGAAATAATTGTGTTTCTTGGAAGCAGAAACACAACGCCTGGTGCATAGCAGCCAATATACATTTATGGAAGGACGGAAGGCAGGAATCAGTCACAGGGGCCTCTTGTTCAGTCATGAAGATAAGCAGAATGTGGTCATGGGGAGTGGCTACAGGCCGGTGACTGGGGAGGTTTGGGAACTTTGAGGAAAATAAACGCTGGGTGGCAAAGTCAAAGGCTGGAGGGGGTTTTTGTCTGTCTGTGCTTGCTCAGTGCTAGCTAAGATGCCATCCGTGTGTGGGTTCAGTTGCTGTTTCTTAACAACTCTAGGCCCCATCGGGCTGTGGTTCCACCTCAGCTATTGTAAAGCTTCTTTCCTGTCTTACCATAAAATCCATCCAAGTGCCATATTCTAGTCAGCCTGTTTCACTGCCAAGCTCCATGTTTAAGTCACCTTCTCTGAATCTGTCAGTGTGCAGATAGAATAGTATCCAACTTCGCTGGAGACTTGACTATCAAGAAAAGGAAAATGACCCTGCTCCCCATTAAACAACACAACCACTGGTATCCTGGACTGCCTACATGCCTGGGGCTGTTCTTATCCAGTCTTTTTTGTCATTAACAAAGATGGGCTTTCATTCAGCATCCTCCAACCCACACCCAAACCACTGCAAGGCTTGTTAGCTCTACCTCCTGAACACATCCTAAATTCACGCTTTCCTTTCCATGGATACCATTCTAGTTTAAATTACTATCTCCTCTTCACCTTGCTAGTGCTTTCACTCCCACCTTCCGTAATCTAGTCCCCATACAACAACCTTACTAGATTATGAAAGAAATCTTGTCTTCCTTTAGCTTAAAATTCTCCCATGACTTCCCATTGGTCTTAGAATAAAACTAGCTTATAAAATGTTGTGTTATCTTGCTCCTGCCTACCTTTCCTCCCTCACTGAGTATTATTCTCTTCTTCACTCACTCTAATCCCATCACATGGGGTGACGTGTGGTGGCTCATGCCTGTAATCCCAGCGCTTTGGGAGGCCGAGGCGGGTGCATCACTTGAGGTCAGGAGACCAGCATGGCCAACCTGGCAAAACCCCTATCTCTACTAAAAATACAAAAATTAGCCCAGCACAGTGATGGACACCTGTAGTCTCAGCAACTCAGGAGGCTGAGGCAAGAGAATCACTTGAACTCGGGAGGCAGAGGTTGCAGTGACTGGAGATGATGTCACTACACTCCAGCCTGGGTGACAGAGCAAAACTCTGTCTAAAAAAATAATAAAAATCAAAAATAAAATAAAATAATCATAAAATCCCATCACTTGGGACTCAAAAAGTCCAAGCTCATTTGCACTTGAGAGCGTCTGCGCTTGCTTCTCCCCTGTTCGTAGGCCATCTAAGTCCATGCATCTGCCCCCAGTCTCTATGTGGCTGGTTCTTCCTTTTCCTTTGATGTCACCTCTGCAGTGAGGCTTTCCTAAGTAACCCATCACCTCCAGTTTCTTCCTTAATATCCCCTTGTGATATGGTCCTCACAGTACACATCACCATCTGAAATAACAGTGCCTTTGATTGTGGACTTCCATTTCTCTCCTCCAGATTATAATTTCCACATGGTCAGGGACCCCTTCTGCCATGTTTTGCCCTATTCCCGGGACCTAGAACTAAACCTTTATGGAACGTGACCTGATAATGTAGTTACTGAATGAACAAATCTTCCTGGCACATGTTCTTTACCCCTGAAAACAACATGGATGATGAGTGCAGACTGCAAAACAGCTCACTGGCAATTGCTCTCAATTCACTCAAACCCTGCGAAGACCGATGCCTTGTCACGAAGACATAAGGTAATGTGATTCACTTTTGAGCGTCAGTTACTAAGAGGACATCAGAGTGGTTGAGCACTCTTTGATGCTATAGGAGTGTCCTCAACTTGCCTATGTCCACGGCAGTGTGAGTCAGCCAGAGATAATGGGGGGGGAAAGAGTTTGCTTCTCTCAATTCCTATCAAGAATCTAAATGGGAGGGAAAAGAACCAATTTCTATTTTTGTTGAATAGTTTTAGAAAGTGCATACATGCTCCTGCGGTCAAAGTTGTGCTCTGGGTTTTCTTCTGAGGGTTAATTTGGATAAAAACTATTATTCAGGGATGCTTTAAGTTTGAATAAATCACTTCAGTTCATCCCAGTTTTCACCTCACGGCCCAAATCCTTTCAAGTCCTTGACCCCCATGCTCTCTCGTTTCTTGCCAGAGTTTCTACTTGTCTTCTCCTACTCAAATACTTACAACGGGTCAGGTCCAGGTGCACTCAAGCTCATTACAGGTTCATTGAAAAGCTTGTCAGGAATCTCACAGCTTTCTATTATAACACTCAGAGTTGAGTTTTCTGCAATGCGAACTTTTAAACTGTAGAAAGCACATGGTCTTTTTGATGCCAATAAAACTGTGCCTCTGGAGAAAACCTAATTTACATCCCCTACACACAAACTATATAGCTTGTGGTGTTGCCTTCAGTAAGAATGGACACAGCTATTTTATTAAGAGCTCACTGAATATGTAGTCTCACATGATAACATGGGAAAGCTCATGGCACGCTTTAAAGGCAATACAAATGTAAGCTCTTTTCAAAAATTGATGAAGAGCATAAAATATATATTTAATAACTTGATCAGAGACTTCAAAACTAATTACTGAGTTTATTATCTAGAAAAATCTCTTCTTGGATTAAATTTGGAGCTATACATTTATTGGATCTATTTAAGTAGAATCAAAAGAAAGAGAAAATAACCTATAGAAATTAAACAGCCCCACTAATATTTAGGTATTCAATAATACGGAAATAAAGAATGAGAGCCAAGATTCCTATAACAAAAAAGTTATCTTTTCCACCTCTAATCAAATAACTTGGGTGTTTATTAGGTGCCCATCAAAGATAAATATTTTAGCAATGGAGCCTATTAATGTGACACATCACTATGTTTAAGATGCTTAAAGTCTTACAGTTCAATTAATCCTCAGAAGTCCAGAGAAATAACTGGCTACTACTGGCAATCAGTTTATAAATATATTATCAAGTTTTTTTAAACAGAAAGTATTTTAAAGAAAAAATAGGCCAGGTGTGTGGCTCAGGCCTGTAATCCCAGCACTTTGGGAAGCCGAGGCGGCGGATCACCTGAGGTCAGGAGTTCAAGACCAGCCTGGCCAACAGGTGAAACCACATCTCACTAAAAATACAAAAATTAGCCGGGCAATGGTGGCATGTGCCTGTAATCCCAGCTACTCAGGAGCTGAGGCAGAAGAGAATCACCTGAACCTGGGAGGCAGAGTTGCAGTGAGCCAAGATCCCACCACTAACTCCCGCCTAGGCAACAGAGTGAGACTTCTGTACGTCAAGTTGAGAGAGAGAGAAAGAGAGAGAAGGAGGGAAGGAAGGAAAGAAAACAGTAATAAAATGACTAAATTATGGCCTACTTTATAATAAATAGTTAGCATCCTTCCCTACCACCATCTTATCCAACAATGTAGCCTAACCAACATATCAGAGTTTTGATATTTCCTTAAATAAGAGAAAAAATACATAACTCACATTTGTAGTTTTAAAACTATTTTGACTGGACTATGGGAACAACATAGTCCAGTCAAATAAATGTGAGGCCACCGCCCACAGTTAGAGGCACCATCAGAATAGGGCACTTCCACTGAACGCTTTTTAAAGTCTCTCATTTAGAAAATGAAACCACCATAACTTAAAAACACACATTAGTGACAGTGAGAAGGTTAAATACATAAAAGAAGCCATTCACTATCAAAAGAATTTGTTCCTTTACATTGTGAAAACCTTTACATTCTTCTCCAAGATACTCAAGTACACCCCTAAAGAACTCCAACAACCCGTGTCCCCCCTAGAAATCTTAGCATAATAATGGCAGACAATATGGTGCTTATTAGCACTGTCCCAACAGTAACATGATATTTTACTAGGTATTCTTAAGTCTGACATTAGGATTAAGATGGAGAGTGCTCAGACTATTTGAAAATTACTTAATGGTTCTAAGATTTTTTTCTCTAATGTATTTGTCAATATTAAATAACTTTAATGAGTTTTTGTCTGAGCTTTTGTACTCAAGTATGGGTATCTGACCATCTATATTAACGTAATTATTCTAATTAAGTCTATAAATGGTACAGCATCATCTCAAATTAGGATGCTCTGTCCCATGGAAGGAAAATTAAACATACCTTAATTGAAAACACAGCTTAAGAACATGATTCAGTTTCCTAATGTGAGTTTATGCCACCTATCCAAGAAAATTGGATATTTGTGTGCATGCACATATGTACACGTGTGTGTGCTCATATATGTAGCAGTTGGCATACCTCATACATACATCACATCTCAACAACAGATTTAAATGTAATACACATTCCAAAACCATAATAAAAATGTTACTGTAATGTTTTCCTAAAACACTACAAACTTTGTAGGTAATTGATTTAACCAAGGATGCTTATTAGCCAGTTATACCTCCTGTGTTCAGTCTGCTGGACTTTGGCTCTTTCTTCCTCTTGCTGCTGCCGCTTAAGTTCCAGTAATTCACTCTAGGAACAATAAAAGTTTTAAAATATGGTTTTCAATTAACACGGTTGTACAGAAGACACCCAAATCAATTACATATTTAACCTCAACTGGTACAGTATTTCATTTTTGAAACTTTTACTTAAGTACTATTTGGATGTGAAATTATTTTCTTATATATGTAGGTAGCAAATAACTGTGGCTTAGTCAAACAGAATTGCTCTGTGAGTGTAAAATCACTAGATTAAAAGCCAATGTGCATGGTCAAGATACTAGACCAATAGGTACAACACAAACAGAGAAAAATACAATGTAAGTCAAATTCATCTATGTCTTACAGAGAAAAACAAATCAAATTAGTTCCTTCAGGAATATCACACAATACTATTTCTTGGTATTTCTCTAGCATTTCTTTCCTAATAAATTCATATTAACTTACAAATAAATATTGGACTCAATCTTGTAGTACAATTCTCTTAATAAAACATTCTCTATCCTGGAGAATAAGCAATCACCTATTATTGGTTAGTTACTTCTTAATACCAGCAGAACTTTGAGATCTCTGGAGGAGATAGTTTGCTTCATATAAATCACATTATTATAACTACATCTTTAGCTTCCAACAGTCTGCTTATCTTCTGGGAAGATGCAACTTAACTTCCAGACCCAGTTACTATGTTTACAGTATTATACCAAAGAACCAATCCCAGGATTTCTCTAATACCCAACTGTCTACCCTAAGGCAGAATAAATTTTAATCCCATTTCAAAGACCAAAAAAATGCAAAGAGGAGAAAATTATTAGGCCCAAGTCATATACCAGTGCCTGAGTCAGAGAGCCTTTCTGGTAGAGAAAATACTGTGTCTTAATCAACATATACCAATAAAAGGTTGCTATTGTTGTTTTAACTCCCAAACTTCCTTGATGAAAAGTATACAAAAAACTCAGAGTTCAGGTTGACATTTTATTAACTTTGTTCAAAGACCCTCCAATATTCCACAGTCCCCCAAAATAAAAAGACTTGTTTCTTATACTGTGATATTCCAAATAAATTGCTCATCAATCCCTAAAGCACATTACTTAACTCTAATTCCTACATAACACCAAGGGGAAATCATTGAATAATATTTGAGTTTTTGAAATCAGTGAATAATATTTGCCCACTCAATAAGCATTTATTATGCACCTAGCTGCCAAGTTTTATGCTCAAGTCTCACTCTTGTACAACAGGATCGTTTTTTAGTCTACCAAGTATTACTACTCCTTATTAGTACTACCAAGTATTAGTACTCCTTATCAGTACTACCAAATATACCGATGTGAAAGAAGCTCCTGTCCTCTCCCTCATCTCCACAATCATTTTCAATTCCTGCATGTGGTTTTGTCAGTAATTATCTTCTTCTTAATAGTATGCATGTTTATTCATTTCTTAATGTTTAAAAAACAGTATCATCTTTTGACTACCTACAATGGAAAAAGATTGATGTCTCTATTACTACCTCCACCCCATCCCAACTTCCTCTCATAGTACACCCCCAGCCTCATTCTCTTACAACATTTCTCGTTTTAACATTCAGTGTGGTGGGAGAGGGATCTAGAAATCCTATAGCTCCTCATTCAAGTTTCTAATTCATCCTCCTGTTTTCAAGTCTAGGCTTCAAAGGTACCAGGTGCCTCCGATTCCTGAACTTAACCAACTTCTGTCTTACTGCTTCTTGCAAATGAGTTCTGGCTTATCCTGCTCCACTAAATCAGTTACCACTGACCACCTAGTTCCAGATTTAAATTTTTGGCTTGTATCTTTGCTGCAGTCTACTAGTCTGTTCTTTTACTCTTGTTGGCTTATGGCTTTTTAAAAAAATTCCTGTATTTTTAGTGGTATATGGGGAAAGAGTGATAAAACATAAGCAAATGAAATGCTTTTGATGTGCAATGTTTAACCAGAAAACCTTAATATTTTCTAATATAAGTTCTACCAGAATTGTATTATTTGATCCTAACAACAATTGCAAAGGTAGGCAGGCAAACAAAGTATTATGTGGTAAATGAATGAGCAATATCATCCTCACCTTACAGATGAGGAAACAAGATCAGAGACAAGTTTTAGTAACTTGTCAAGAGCTAAATAGCTTATTAGTAGCAAAATAAGGACTGGGGCTTACATTTTCTTGTATCTAATAATCTTCTGCAGGATGCATTCAAAATAAATGGTTGGAATTGAGGATGTCTTCATGGTGGTTCATCATACTCAAGTATAAACAGTCACGTCCAGAACTATAAGACCCATTCACATTCAAAAGCTTTAGCAGAATATGCGGTAACCCAAGCACAAATCTAAACCCTTCTTGCCAAAGGAGGCTGATTATTCTTACATTCATTAACCCTATTTCTCCAAGGACCAACTTCTGGTATCTGGCCCATTGTGAGTTTAATACAATGAACTCTGAACAAACTAAACTCTCCTTAGTTCTGGAGTATGACACAAAGACAAAAAAAGTATTTTATATATATATATATATATATATATGCATATTATGACATGTCACTTTAAAATAATTTTTAAGATAATTTTTTCAGACTTGGCAAAATGATCATGAAACTTGTCTGAGAAAAAAAAACGCAATCGTAGCCATAAAAAAATCCTGAAAAAGAAAACAAAAAAATGAGAAAGAACCAGCTTCATCAAACATTGAAAGACATCATATGAGAACACGTGGATGGGGACAACACACACTGGGATCTGTTGGAGTGGAGGATGTAGGGGGAGGGAGAGCTAATGGATGCTGGGCTTAAAACCTAGGTATTGGGTTGATTTGTGCAGCAAACCACCATGGCACATGTTTACCTATGTAACAAACCTGCACATCCTGCACATGAATTCCTGAATTCAAAAGTTGAAGAAAAAACATATCATAAAACTATAGTAATTAAAACAATTCGAGTCTAAGAAGAGACGTGATACATATGGAAATGTAGTTTATCATAGAGTTGTTGTGCTAAACCAGTGCAGGAGACAGAGTTTCATGAATGATGATGGACTAGCCAACTACTGTAAGAAAGATCAAAACTGGATCCTTAACTTTGATTAAATAAATTTTATAGAAGTCTAAGATTTGAGCCTAGACAATGGGAATAGAAGTTTTCAAAGGCGGCACAGGTGAATTTATTTATAAACTTGGAGTGAGGAAGTTCCAGAAGTTATAAAAAGAAAAAGACTGATAAATTTGCCTGCATGAAAATTCAAACCTTTCACTTGGAAAAAATACCATAAAATTTAAAAATGAACTGTTAATGAATGTTTAGGATACACAAAAGCTAATTCCATTTTCATTTATTTATTCATTAAATATCTGAGTGTCTATTATGAGCCAGGCTTGCATCTACATGATAGGCTATAGTAGTGAACAAGATAGATGAGATCCTTGCTCCTTTAGAGTTTATGTTCTAGAGAAAGGCAACCCATAAACAAGTGAGAAAAATATCCAACCATAATCCCAGGCAGAGGATTAAAACACACTGATGTGAGATTTAGTGGCTCAGTGACTATTTTAGGTTGAGACTCAGGAAATGTCCCAGAAAGGGGGTAAGGACTTCACATAAACCAATGAGGAAAAAACCACCAAACAGAAGAAGGGCCAAGGGATAGGAACAGGCAGTTCACAGATAAACTACAGATTGCCTGTCCATTCAAAATGGTCATCATCTTCACTCAAAATCAAAGAAAAATTAAAACAATGAGATAAAATGTTTCTATTGCATTGATGAAAATCAGAAAAGTTTGACAGAAAACACTCTGGTATAGCATCTAAATTAGTGAAACCGAATTTGGTTTTTGGAGGTCAATTTAGCAATAAGCATCAAAATGTAAGATGTATACATCCCTTGCAGAAGTGTTCAAAGATGTATGTATATGAATATTCACAGTTATATTATTGAAACTGTAAAAGTTCAGGGAAAAATGTTAATTGCCCACCAACAAAAAACTTGCATGATAAGTGAGACCATCAGCACAATGGAAGACAATGAAACAGTTACAAAGAATAAGATGGATGTTTTGTAAGGCAGAGCGGGGGCCTATGGAGAGATCTCTAAGATACATTAAGTGAGAGAAGATAGGTTCAGAGCCGCTTTCTTGGGATGCTTCTACATAAATAGAAAACACATACATTCATTCATTTCGACTTTTATATGCTGGTGTGTATCCAAAACATTTCATGAAAAACTACACAAGAAAATGTTAACTGTAATTAACACCGGGTAGCGGTGCTTGAAGTGTGAATGGGCAAGAAAAGGATGCTTTACTATCTTACATAGGTTTTGTTTATTAACTTTTGGACCATGTGTATATATGATTTCCTCATACCATCAGTAGGAATTTATTATCAGTGTGAGAGGCTATTTCTGTTTCCTTATACTTTCCTTTATTTAAAAATCCCAATAAATATGTAAATTTTAACACAGACAGATATAAAAGAGCAAAAAACTACATATGAAGCTAAGAACTGTTAGGGAGGAAGAAAAGAAGACGGGAAGAGAGCAATATACATCATCCTATTATGGAGGCAAGGAAAGGGGATAAGAGATAAAGACCAGGAGAGAAACGAGGACGGGAGCTGATGAGGCATCACCATGCAAGAACATTGCTCCAGATGGCCGAAGGGAAGGTGCTGGCATCGCTGCACTCAGGATTATTATCCTATAACTAGCAAAGCATATTTACTAAGGAGAGGCTGGTTTTTCTTCCATACTAAGAAGGATAATTTCAGCTAATTAATTTGTTCTGCTGAACTGACAGCCACTGAGGATGTGTCTGCATGCCTTATAAGCATATTCTTGGTTCATTTACTGAGATCCCACACAGAAGTTCAATATCTAGAGTTAAGCAAATAAAAAATAAGTTGTTCTTGTTCCAAGGACCAAGCTTGGGACAAGAAAAGCATCAAAGCGCTCTAAGCAGGAGGACAATGACAGCAACATCTGGGACATTGTTAAGGCCTGGCCTACTCAATGCATATTGTCACAC